GGAGTGCTGAGCGTGGGGGTGCTGAGCCTGGGGGTGCTGCGCCTTGGGGTGCTACGCCTGGAGGTACTGAGCCTGGAGGTGCTGAGCCTGAGGGAGCTGGGCCTGCTCGTGTGGCGTCTGGCAGTGCTGTGCCTGGCGGTTCTCCGGGTGCTTCGTCTCGCCGGGAGCCACTCTCTCCACAAGAGCTGCGTGAGTGGTTTGACCAGCGCTGGAGGCGAGCTGCTGGAGCTGGAGGTGCTGCGGGTACTGGAGGTTCTGCTGCTGCTTAGGGTGCTGGTGCCACGGGTCCTGGAGGTACTCGTACTGGGAGTACTGGAGCTGCTCGGCCTGCGGGTACTTCTCGAGCTGGAGCTGCTGCGGATGTTGGCGCGGAGGCTACTGCTGTCGGTCCTAGAGGCGGTCCTGCTGGGGGTGCTACTGGTGCTGCTGGAGGTACTGGAGCTGGAGGTGCTGCTGGTGCTGGTGCTGCCGCTGGGGATACTGGTGCTGTCCCTGCTGTGTTTGGAGTCGCCGCTTGGCCTAGGCCGTACTTCGTTCCGCTCCTTCACCAGGTTCTTGGTCTCCCGCCTTCTACTGGTCCTCCTCCTCCCTTAGATGTCGAAAATAGTTGAACGAGGATTGAGTTAAGTTGAAACTAGGGCCTAGGCTTAGGAGCCTAGGCCCGAGATTAGGTGTCGAGTGGTTCTTGCCTAGGGTGAGGTTCGAGTGAGTTGGAAGAGAAGTTGGGAAGAAAAAAAATGTGTTTCACTATAGGTTTTGAAGAACATATAGCAAAGGAAACAAATAAGGTGCACCACCAAACAAAGTTTAAATAACTACACTAACTACAGCTACAGACAGTTACAAATATAAGTTCTGACACTCCCCCATAACTGCCCGCAGCAGGAGTGTGTGCAGAATACAACCTGCAGGTGTACACATGCAAAACAATAACAAACAAGCAACAGCAGGAACTGCAGGCGGGCTGACACTAACTGGTCACCCCCTCCATCTCCTCATCCTCCTCCTTCCCCTCCCCCACATTGCTGCAGGAGCAACAGAGAAGGGGGGAAGAGAGGAGAGGTGAAGGGACGGCTGCTGGTTGCCTCACACCCGCCACCCCGGTGCCACTCCCCCTGCTCCCCCACACCCTCACACCCTCCCCCCCAGCGGCAGCTGCAGCAGTTGGTACGAAAGGAGGAGGAGGGGAAGGGAAGGAGACGACCCAACACTCCAACACCCGCCACCCCCATACCCTCCTCCCCACGGCTGCAGGAAGACAAAGGAGGAGGGGGTGGGCGGGAAGAAAGCCGCAGAGCGGCTAGACTGTGTCGGCGCTGATAGGTCAGGGGCGGCTGCAGGGAGAGCAGGGGCGGAAAGGCCCGTCGCGTGCCACGGGGCGCACGACGGGTAAGTTTAAGTGAAAGGGCCCGATCGTGTGCCTCGGGGCGCACGACGAGCAGGGCACCGTCGCGTGCCACGAGGCGCACGACGAGCAGGTTTAGGGCACCGTCGCGTGCCACGGGGCGCGCGACGGACAGAGAAGGAGTCACACGCCAACCGGGGGCGGGACAAGGGAAAATCGCCACGCGCCCTAGGCGCGCGACCGGAAAATCGTGGCAGTGGAAACGTACAGGCAGGAGAAGTTCCAGTGCTTGGCCGCTGCTTCACCTCATCTCGTGTCCGTACTGCTTACCCCTGAGGTAGACCCGGATGCACTTTACATCCCGACTCCGCGCTCTTACGCAGAGGCGATAGAGGGTCCCTACTTCTCTCAGTGGCAGGCAGCTATGGACGCAGAGATGGCTTCCTGGAAGTCCACAGGCACGTATGTTGACGAGGATCCCCCGCCTGGGGCGAACATCGTCAGTGGCATGTGGATTTTCAGGGTGAAGCGACCACCGAGTTCTCCGCCTGTCTTCAAGGCGCGTTACGTGGCTCGTGGCTTCAGTCAGCGGCAGGGAGTTGACTACTTTAAGACCTTCTCTCCCACCCCGAAGATGACCACTCTTCGGGTGCTGCTGCACATAGCCGCTCAGCGCGACTACGAGCTTCACTCTCTTGACTTCAGCACAGCTTTCCTGCAGGGCAGCCTGCACGAGGAGATCTGGCTACGCTGCCCACCTGGCTTCACTGGGTCGTTTCCCCCTGGTACCTAGTGGAGCCTCTGGCGGCCAGTCTACGGTCTCCGCCAGGCGCCCCGTGAGTGGCACGACACACTGAGGACTACCCTTGCGGCTCTTGGGTTTGCTCCCTCTACTGTCGACCCGTCGCTTTTTCTGCGCACCGACACTTCTCTGCCGCCGTTCTACATCCTCGTGTACGTCGACGACCTTGTCTTTGCCATAGCTGACACTGTTGGACTCGCCCATATGAAGTCTGAGCTGCAGAAGAGACACACGTGCACTGACCTGGGTGAACTGCGCAGCTACCTTGGCTTGCATATCACCCGGGACAGAGCACGCCGCACCATTACCCTGACTCAGTCACACATGGTGCAGCAGGTCCTTCAGCGCTTCGGCTTCACGTACTCCTCGCCTCAGGCCACTCCTCTGCCTACGCGCCACTCGCTCTCAGCTCTGCCTTCGGATGAGTCTGTAGAGTCGAGTGGCCCGTACCCAGAGCTTGTTGGCTGCCTCATGTACCTGATGACCTGCACACGACCTGACCTTGCATACCCTCTTAGCATTCTCGCACGCTATGTTGCTCCTGGGAGACACAGACCAGAGCACATGGCTGCAGCGAAGAGGGTGTTGCGCTACTTGTGCAGTACGTCGGGCATGGGGCTTGTGCTTGGAGGGCAGAGTCCAGTGGTCCTTACTGGGCACGCAGACGCTTCTTGTGCTGACGACCAGGCTACGCAGCGGTCGTCACAGGGTTACACCTTCAGCCTTGGTTCCGGCTCTGTTTCGTGGCGGGCTACTCGCTTGTCTTCTGTTCTCGGCTCCAGTTGTGAGGCTGAGATCTACGCAGGAGCCATGGCTGCTCAGAGCTTCGCTGGCTCACCTACCTGCTGACTGACCTCGGAGAGCCGCCTCGTTCTTCTCCAGTGCTGTACGTAGACAACAAGGCCATGCTGGCCTTGTGTCGGGAGCAGCGACTGGAGCACAGAACAAAGCACATTGCTCTCCGCTACTTTCTTGCTCGTGAGCTGCAGCAGCGTGGTCAGCTGCGTCTTGCGTACGTGGCCTCTGAGGCCAACACTGCTGATATCTTCACCAAGGCGCTTGCGCCTTGTGATCATCAGCGCTTCTGTACTCAGCTGGGTCTTGTGCCTGCCTTGCCTCGCTTGCTCACCTCTTGACCTTGTTTGTACTGTTACATATATATATTCACCTGCTCTTGCTTGTCTAGCCTTTTATATATATATGTACTCCTTCATGTGAACTGGCCTTGTGGCCTTGAACTTGTGCTCGGAATGTGTGGTGACTTTGTGATCCACCGTGAGCTTGCTTTGCTTTGCTTGACTGGTCTTGTGACCCCTCGTTCTTCCCCACTTTGCCTATGGGGGTGTGTCAGAACATCATAGCTTATGCTTTTGTGTAGGCTATAGTGGGGTAGCCGATAAGGGGTACAACCAAATTAGGGTTAGTACTTGTACCCAATTCTTTCATAGTTCATTCATCCTCGTTCATTTTCACAAATAACGCCCCATCTGCAACGACCAATCAATCGCCGTTCTACCTCAATTACGGGATAGATCCGATGGTACCCTCTTCAATGACTCCTGAAAATCCGGTACCATGGTCACAGCAATTTGTTTCGGAACTTCAAGCAGCACGAGACAAGGCAGCGGAATTTATATGAAAGGCTAATACTGCCGCCAGCCGCTACGCTGACCGACATCGACGGAATTTACCTTTCCGTGACGCGCAGATGGTCCTTCTGGACACGAAAAATCTTCGACTGCCCCAGCCTGCAAAATTGCGTCCCCGCTACGTGGGACCTTTCGGCATCATTTAGATGCTGACCCTGGTCACGGCGAAACTTCTTCTGCCGGACGACTAGAAGATTCACGACGCCTTCCACGTCAGTTTGCTTCGCCACTACGTGGCTCCGCAGCCGTCCGACGTCGCTCGACCCAACATCACGCCAAGTGTCCGACTGGTAGCAGATCCGACACTGCAACCTTGGAAGATTTTGAATCATCGCATTCGTGCGACCCCTGCTGGACGCCACGTCGATATCCTTCTACGTTGGGTGGACCGTACAAGTGAAGATGACACGTGGGTCCCGACTGACTCGCTACAGGGCCACTCGGTGTTTCGGGATTATCTTTCCCGCCGACGCGTGCCTTATATTGACCACCTTTGTTAAGGGGGGGGGGGGGGGGGGGGGGTAGTGTAAGGAATTTTCCTAATTCCTTACTGTGGCACTTCTTACGCGTAAATTTCCAACTTTCGGAGTTCAGGCTCGGTCCATCGACCTCGCCTTCCGAACGTCCTCCCCATCGCCTTCGGGTTTCCCAACCCCAAACCTGCACCCAACCTTCGCGCGACCCCGCGACCTCGGCCTAGCTAGCTTTGCTATATTATGCCTAGGCCTCATTCTTTGGTCAGTAGTTGTAATCACTTCCGCGTTATTGAATACGCGCACTCTTCTTTCGTACAACTCATAACACACCATCAGGTTGAGAAAAAGCTGAAGTCTGCTTTCTTTAGAGGCCTCATTTGCTTCATCCGCATGTTACGGTATGTGTATTGTACGGCTATTCACTTATCGTGTGGTTGACAGACAATATTCCTGTATAGTGTTTTCCATTTTCAGTTGGAGTTATCCACATTACTGATATTAAGTCAGAATGAATTTTGGAAAGCGTAATGACAAGACAGCACGAAGGTTGAGGGAAGCCAGAATATCATGAAGTTGGGCTGCAACTAGACTTCTGTGAACGCAACCAGCAAGCTGTTTCGTGAGCTGTTAACCGTTTCAACTTGGTGGTGCAGTTGAGTTGAGCGAGTGAGGATGCCATACCGCCCAAGCTGCCTCACAAGACTAATCATGGCTACCCGCCGTGCACGTTAAGTGTGTCCTGTTGCTGCGGGTGGGGAGGAGGGGCAGAGTTATGCCGGGGGGGGGGGGGGAAGGAGGGGGCGGGAAAAGGGAGGGGGAGGGGGAAGGGTGAGCCGGGGGGGGGGGGGGAGTTTGAGCTGGTGGAATGAGACAAGATTGATTCACAGAGTGTGTTGCCTACCACGGAAAAAGAGTGGAAAATGAGGATGTGAGTGCACCTGCCGCAGTGGAGAGAGACGGGTGCACTCAGCTTGCTGTGCATGCTGATTGCAGGCTGCACTTGTCCATCCATCCCAACCTACCGCACCACACTGCAACCTACCACACCCCACCGCATCCCCACCTGCCATCTGAAGAAGTGGCACTTGCAGAAAGCAGCGCTGTCCCCCGTCTGGGGGAAAGCCGCAGCCTGCTGGGCTGACCCTCCCTCCCTGCCTCCCTGACTCCCTCCCTCCCTGCCTCCCTGCCTCCCTCCCTCCCTGCCTCCCTCCCTCCCTGCCTCCCTGCCTCCCTCCCTCCCTGCCTCCCTGCCTCCCTGCCTCCCTCCCTGCCTCCCTGCCTCCCTGCCTGCCTCCCTGCCTGCCTCCCTGCCTGCCTCCCTGCCTCCCTGCCTGCCTCCCTGCCTCCCTGCCTGCCTCCCTGCCTCCCTGCCTGCCTCCCTGCCTCCCTGCCTGCCTCCCTGCCTGCCTCCCTGCCTGCCTCCCTGCCTCCCTGCCTGCCTCCCTGCCTCCCTGCCTGCCTCCCTGCCTCCCTGCCTGCCTCCCTGCCTCCCTGCCTGCCTCCCTGCCTCCCTGCCTGCCTCCCTGCCTCCCTGCCTGCCTCCCTGCCTCCCTGCCTCCCTGCCTCCCTGCCTGCCTCCCTCCCTGCCTCCCTGCCTCCCTGCGTGCCTCCCTGCCTCCCTGCCTGCCTCCCTGCCTCCCTGCCTGCCTCCCTGCCTCCCTGCCTGCCTCCCTGCCTCCCTGCCTCCCTGCCTCCCTGCCTGCCTCCCTGCCTCCCTGCCTCCCTGCCTCCCTCCCTCCCTGCCTCCCTCCCTCCCTGCTTCCCTGCCTCCCTGCCTCCCTCCCTCCCTGCCTCCCTGCCTCCCTGCCTCCCTCCCTGCCTCCCTGCCTCCCTGCCTGCCTCCCTGCCTGCCTCCCTGCCTGCCTCCCTGCCTCCCTGCCTGCCTCCCTGCCTCCCTGCCTGCCTCCCTGCCTCCCTGCCTGCCTCCCTGCCTCCCTGCCTGCCTCCCTGCCTGCCTCCCTGCCTCCCTGCCTGCCTCCCTGCCTCCCTGCCTGCCTCCCTGCCTCCCTGCCTGCCTCCCTGCCTCCCTGCCTGCCTCCCTGCCTCCCTGCCTCCCTGCCTCCCTGCCTGCCTCCCTGCCTCCCTGCCTCCCTGCCTGCCTCCCTGCCTGCCTCCCTGCCTCCCTGCCTGCCTCCCTACCTCCCTGCCTCCATTCCTGCCTCCCTCCCTGCCTCCCTGCCTGCCTCCCTGCCTCCCTGCCTGCCTCCCTCCCTGCCTCCCTGTCTGCCTCCCTCCCTGCCTCCCTGCCTGCCTCCCTCCCTGCCTCCCTGCCTGCCTCCCTCCCTGCCTCCCTGCCATGCTCCCAAAGCCCACGCCCACTGCTGCAACGCCAGACGCGTCTACCGCTGAGAGAGGAGAGGGGAGGGAGAAAAGAGGGGGAGTGAGAGGAGAGGTGGAGTGAGGGGAGACGGGGAAGTAGAGGAGGGGGGAGTGAGGGTAGGGGGAGAGTGAGAGGAGAGGGGAAGTGGGAGGAGGGAGAGAGTAGGGAAGGTGGGAGAGGAGGAGCGGCGGAGGGAGAGGAAATGGATGGGAAGAGAGAGGAGGTGGGGTAGGGAAGAGGAAAGGCAAAAAAAACATCAGCGCAGCACTTTACCTACCCCATCCTTTCACATCCCAACGCGTTGACAACCCCTTGCCATCTTCCCCATCCATTCAAGTTCTCTCCCTCACCCACCCCCCCCCCCTTTCCCTCCCTCTTTTGTCCTCTTGCTATCCCCACAGCTCTCCCATCCCCATCCGCCCCTCACGCACCTGCACAGTGCGGAAGTCCCCTAAGCTGTCGTGAGCCGTCCCGAGGCACAGACCCGCGGGGCACCGCTGCCCACCGCAGACACGCAGGGGCACGGGTTGCTGAAGCGGCCTGCTCGCCAGTGAAGCATCAGCGACCAGAGGAGTGTCGTGGGGCGGTGCAGTGAAGAGAGGCGTCTCATCACACTGCAGTGAAGAGAGGCGTCTCATCACACTGCAGTGAAGAGAAGCGTCTCATCACACTGCAGTGAAGAGAGGCGTCTCATCACACTGCAGTGAAGAGAGGCGTCTCATCACACTGCAGTGAAGAGAGGCGTCTCATCACACTGCAGTGAAGAGAGGCGTCTCATCACACTGCAGTGAAGAGAGGCGTCTCATCACACTGCAGTGAAGAGAGGCGTCTCATCACACTGCAATGAAAAGAGGCGTCTCATCACACTGCAGTGAAGAGAAGCGTCTCATCACACTGCAATGAAAAGAGGCGTCTCATCACACTGCAGTGAAGAGAGGCATCTCATCACACTGCAGTGAAGAGAGGCGTCTCATCACACTGCAGTGAAGAGAAGAGTCTCATCACACTGCAGTGAAGAGAGGCGTCTCATCACACTGCAGTGAAGAGAGGCGTCTCATCACACTACAGTGAAGAGAAGCGTCTCATCACACTGCAGTGAAGAGAAGCGTCTCATCACACTGCAGAGAAGAGAGGCGTCTCATCTCACTGCAGTGAAGGGAGGCGTTTCATCACACTGCAGTGAAGAGAGGCGTCTCATCACACTGCAGTGAAGAGAGGCGTCTCATCACACTGCAGTGAAGAGAAGCGTCTCATCACACTGCAGTGAAGAGAGGCGTCTCATCACACTGCAGTGAAGAGAAGCGTCTCATCACACTGCAGTGAAGAGAAGCGTCTCATCACACTGCAGTGAAGAGAGGCATCTCATCACACTGCAGTGAAGAGAGGCGTCTCATCACACTGCAGTGAAGAGAAGCGTCTCATCACACTGCAGTGAAGAGAGGCGTTTCATCACACTGCAGTGAAGAGAGGCGTCTCATCACACTGCAGTGAAGAGAGGCGTCTCATCACACTGCAGTGAAGAGAAGCGTCTCATCACACTGCAGTGAAGAGAGGCGTCTCATCACACTGCAGTGAAGAGAAGCGTCTCATCACACTGCAGTGAAGAGAAGCGTCTCATCACACTGCAGTAAAGAGAGGCATCTCATCACACTGCAGTGAAGAGAGGCGTCTCATCACACTGCAGTGAAGAGAAGCGTCTCATCACACTGCAGTGAAGAGAGGCGTCTCATCACACTGCAGTGAAGAGAGGCGTCTCATCACACTGCAGTGAAGAGAGGCGTCTCATCACACTGCACTGAAGAGAGGCGTCTCATCACACTGCAGTGAAGAGAGGCGTCTCATCACACTGCAGTGAAGAGAAGCGTCTCATCACACTGCAGTGAAGAGAGGCGTCTCATCACACTGCAGTGAAGAGAGGCGTCTCATCACACTGCGGTGAAGAGAGGCGTCTCATCACACTGCAGTGAAGAGAGGCGTCTCATCACACTGCAGTGAAGAGAAGCGTCTCATCACACTGCAGTGAAGAGAGGCGTCTCATCACACTGCAGTGAAGAGAGGCGTTTCATCACACTGCAGTGAAGAGAGGCATCTCATCACACTGCAGTGAAGAGAGGCGTCTCATCACACTGCAGTGAAGAGAGGCGTCTCATCACACTGCGGTGAAGAGAGGCGTCTCATCACACTGCAGTGAAGAGAGGCGTCTCATCACACTGCAGTGAAGAGAGGCGTCTCATCACACTGCAGTGAAGAGAGGCGTCTCATCACACTGCAGTGAAGAGAGGCGTCTCATCACACTGCAGTGAAGAGAAGCGTCTCATCACACTGCAGTGAAGAGAAGCGTCTCATCACACTGCAGAGAAGAGAGGCGTCTCATCTCACTGCAGTGAAGGGAGGCGTTTCATCACACTGCAGTGAAGAGAGGCGTCTCATCACACTGCAGTGAAGAGAGGCGTCTCATCACACTGCAGTGAAGAGAAGCGTCTCATCACACTGCAGTGAAGAGAGGCGTCTCATCACACTGCAGTGAAGAGAAGCGTCTCATCACACTGCAGTGAAGAGAAGCGTCTCATCACACTGCAGTGAAGAGAGGCATCTCATCACACTGCAGTGAAGAGAGGCGTCTCATCACACTGCAGTGAAGAGAAGCGTCTCATCACACTACAGTGAAGAGAGGCGTTTCATCACACTGCAGTGAAGAGAGGCGTCTCATCACACTGCAGTGAAGAGAGGCGTCTCATCACACTGCAGTGAAGAGAAGCGTCTCATCACACTGCAGTGAAGAGGGGCGTCTCATCACACTGCAGTGAAGAGAAGCGTCTCATCACACTGCAGTGAAGAGAAGCGTCTCATCACACTGCAGTGAAGAGAGGCATCTCATCACACTGCAGTGAAGAGAGGCGTCTCATCACACTGCAGTGAAGAGAAGCGTCTCATCACACTGCAGTGAAGAGAGGCGTCTCATCACACTGCAGTGAAGAGAGGCGTCTCATCACACTGCAGTGAAGAGAGGCGTCTCATCACACTGCAGTGAAGAGAGGCGTCTCATCACACTGGAGTGAAGAGAGGCGTCTCATCACACTGCAGTGAAGAGAAGCGTCTCATCACACTGCAGTGAAGAGAGGCGTCTCATCTCACTGCAGTGAAGAGAGGCGTCTCATCAGACTGCAGTGAAGAGAGGCGTCTCATCACACTGCAGTGAAGAGAGGCGTCTCATCACACTGCAGTGAAGAGAAGCGTCTCATCACACTGCAGTGAAGAGAGGCGTCTCATCACACTGCAGTGAAGAGAGGCGTTTCATCACACTGCAGTGAAGAGAGGCGTATCATCACACTGCAGTGAAGAGAAGCGTCTCATCACACTGCAGTGAAGAGAGGCGTCTCATCACACTGCAGTGAAGAGAGGCGTCTCATCACACTGCAGTTAAGAGAAGCGTCTCATCACACTGCAGTGAAGAGAGGCGTCTCATCACACTGCAGTGAAGAGAGGCATCTCATCACACTGCAGTGAAGAGAGGCATCTCATCACACTGCAGTGAAGAGAGGCATCTCATCACACTGCAGTGAAGAGTGGCATCTCATCACACTGCAGTGAAGAGAGGCGTCTCATCACACTGCAGTTAAGAGAAGCGTCTCATCACACTGCAGTGAAGAGAGGCGTCTCATCACACTGCAGTGAAGAGAGGCATCTCATCACACTGCAGTGAAGAGAGGCATCTCATCACACTGCAGTGAAGAGAGGCATCTCATCACACTGCAGTGAAGAGTGGCATCTCATCACACTGCAGTGAAGAGAGGCATCTCATCACACTGCAGTGAAGAGAAGCGTCTCATCACACTGCAGTGAAGAGAGGCGTCTCATCACACTGCAGTGAAGAGAGGCATCTCATCACACTGCAGTGAAGAGAGGCGTCTCATCACACTGCAGTGAAGAGAAGCGTCTCATCACACTGCAGTGAAGAGAGGCGTCTCATCACACTGCAGGAAAGAGAGGCGTCTCATCACACTGCAGTGAAGAGAGGCATCTCATCACACTGCAGTGAAGAGAGGCGTCTCATCACACTGCAGTGAAGAGAGGCGTCTCATCACACTGCAGTGAAGAGAGGCATCTCATCACATTGCAGTGAAGAGAGGCATCTCATCACACTGCAGTGAAGAGAGGCATCTCATCACACTGCAGTGAAGAGAGGCGTTTCATCACACTGCAGTGAAGAGAAGCGTCTCATCACACTGCAGTGAAGAGAGGCGTCTCATCACACTGCAGTGAAGAGAGGCGTCTCATCACACTGCAGTGAAGAGAAGCGTCTCATCACACTGCAGTGAAGAGAGGCGTCTCATCACACTGCAGTGAAGAGAGGCGTCTCATCACACTGCAGTGAAGAGAGGCGTCTCATCACACTGCAGTGAAGAGAGGCGTCTCATCACACTACAGTGAAGAGAAGCGTCTCATCACACTGCAGTGAAGAAAGGCGTCTCATCACACTTCAGTGAAGAGAGGCGTCTCATCACACTGCCGTGAAGAGAGGCATCTCATCACACTGCAGTGAAGAGAGGCGTCTCATCACACTGCAGTGAAGAGAGGCGTCTCATCACACTGCAGTGAAGAGAGGCATCTCATCACACTGCAGTGAAGAGAGGCATCTCATCACACTGCAGTGAAGAGAGGCGTCTCATCACACTGCAGTGAAGAGAAGCGTCTCATCACACTGCAGTGAAGAGAGGCGTTTCATCACACTGCAGTGAAGAGAGGCATCTCATCACACTGCAGTTAAGAGAGGCATCTCATCACACTGCAGTGAAGAGAGGCATCTCATCACACTGCAGTGAAGAGAGGCGTCTCATCACACTGCAGTGAAGAGAGGCGTCTCATCACACTTCAGTGAAGAGAGGCGTCTCATCACACTGCAGTGAAGAGAGGCGTCTCATCACACTGAAGTGAAGAGAGGCGTCTCATCACACTGCAGTGAAGAGAGGCGTCTCATCACACTGCACTGAAGAGAGGCGTCTCATCACACTGCAGTGAAGAGAGGCGTCTCATCACACTGCAGTGAAGAGAGGCGTCTCATCACACTGCAGTGAAGAGAGGCATCTCATCACACTGCAGTGAAGAGAGGCATCTCATCACACTGCAGTGAAGAGAGGCGTCTCATCACACTGCAGTGAAGAGAGACGTCTCATCACACTGCAGTGAAGAGAGGCGTCTCATCACACTGCAGTGAAGAGAGGCGTCTCATCACACTGCAGTGAAGAGAGGCGTCTCA